AATCTTTGGGTTTTCTGTTCTTCAGAAGCCCACCCAAAACCTAAAAATCAAAGAAAAGAACGGTTAGAAACCGTTCATAATAATAAAATAAATAAAAATAAACCAAAGATTCGTACTTACGAATTTTGGTTTTTTCCATTTTTCAGAAGACACCCGAGAAACCCAAAACCTAAAAATAAAATAAAAAGAACGGTTAGAACCATTCATAGTATTAAAAAAAAATAAATCTAAGGTTCGTAATATAATACTTACGAACCTTAGTTCTCCATTTTCCGTTCTTCAGAAGACCACCCGATGGAACCTATAAAAAATAAAATAAAAAGAACAGTTAGAACCGTTCATAGTATTAAAAAAATAAATCTAAGGTTCGTAATATAATGCTTACGAACTTTAGTTTTTTGTTTTCCGTTCTTCGGAAGATCACCTGACAGAACTTATAAAAAATAAAATAAAAAGAACGGTTAGAACCGTCCATAGTATTAAAGAAATAAATCTAAGATTCGTAACTGAATATAATACTTACGAACCTTAGTTCTCCATTTTCCATTCTTCGGAAGCCCTTTCGAGACACCGAACCTATAAAAAAAAGAAAGGAACGGTTAGTAAACCGTTTCATAATAATAAAAAAAATAAAAAAAAACCAAGATTCTTACGAATCTTGGTTCCTCTTTGCGAAATCCCCTTCCACCATCCCCCTTTCCCAGTTTTTTACCTTAAAGTCTGGTTTCGTGAACAAGCTGGCGTCCTACAAAAAAAAAACAATGAAAAAGAAACGTTAGATCGTTTCTTAAATTAAAAATAACAAAAAATCTTCCACTTTCCAGTTTCTTACTACCTTAAAGTCCGGTTTCATAGTATTCAAGCCAGCGTCCCCCTAGTAAACGTCCTACAAAAAATAAAATAATAAAGAGAAACGTTAGTTCATTTCTTAAATTAAAAATAACAAAAAATCTTCCCCTTTTCAGTTTCTTACTACCTTAAAGTCCGGTTTCATAGTATTCAAGCCGGCGTCCCCCTAGTAAACGTCCTACAAAAAATAAAATAATGAAAAGAAACGAAAAAAAAAGATAAAATTAAAAAAAAAAATAAAAAAAAAAAA